AAAAAAAAAAAAAAAAGAGTCACCTACAATACCTCTTGGATGGCCTGAGAGCAAATTAACAGCAAATTGTAATTTTTGAGTGAACTATCCCTTTAAAGCAGATGGTATAAATGCAGAGCACACTTATAATAAACAGAACTTTATCATCCACTGAAATATAGTTTCATTATAGTAATCGTTCTTAGTATGAACTTGCCAAGTATGATGACAATTTCCATTTTTGGGGAGGACTATCCCTTTAAGAATGCTTTAACATGAATGAATGTGTTTGATGGTATTGATCTGCTTCACAAAGTGCTAAATGGACTGAATGTGCACTGACAGCAGTGACTGGCAATTTTCACACACAAATGTGTAGTGCTCAATTCACTTTAGTGTGAAAATCGAGATGACCCGTATCAACCGGACATGCTCATGCGATCGCATTAAAAACATGCACACGTGCTGTGGAAGCTTGTGGATAAACAATACAAGGTCATAAATGATGTAAAATGGTCATTTGCTCACAGATAGAACAGAAGCAGCCTACTGCAATCTCCCTCCTGCTCATAATCCGAGACTGCAGTTTGACAGTACCATGTATTAGGCACAGGAGGGCGCTGTACTTACCAGAGGATCAACACCATTCAAAATCACTTCTTTAACATCCAGAGTCTCATCAATCACCTGTCAACACAGACAGGGCAGTCTCAGTTACTTCCTTGGGAACTGAAGAGTGAGTCAGGGTGTGTGCGATGTACAGTAAAGTGTGTTAGTTTACTGAAAGGGCATACACAAATATTCAAGATCAAGGGGACCAAATGTAAACTGATATTCTAAGTATTCTGAATATTAGGCTGACGTGTCCCCCTCAATGTCTGTGGTGGTTATTGTGCGGTTTACAGCAATAGATGGGTATTAAATACTGTGAGCAAATCCAAAATAATTCATGATCTTTGATATAGTGACTATGTCCTTGTTCCAAAACATGGCTGGTTGCATTTAATGCAGGGAAAGATGATCATTTTCATCTTGGTATTTTGCTATTAAACAAAACACCTCAACGTGTATCGAAAAACATTCGATGAAGGGGCCATCAGAGCATGTTTAAAGGGATAGTTCGCCCAAAACATGAAAAGTGTCATTATTTACTCATTTCATTCCATACCTGTAAACTTTTTTCTTCTGTGGAACACAAAAGATTACATTTTGAAGAATGTTGACAACCAAACAGTTTCAGTTCCCATTGACTTCCATTGTATTTTGGTCCATACAATAGCAGGCGATACGAACCAAAACTGTCTGGTTACCAACATTCTTCAGAATATCTTCTTCCACAGAAGAAAAAGTCATACAAAACACAAGGGTTTTCATTTTTTGGGTAGACTATCCCTTTAATGTAGCTTAGATTCTCACAAATCCCTGATAGCTCCTCGATGTGATTTCAGAAAGACAAACATGCAAAAAATTCAAAACAAGCCGAACACATGAGCCACATTCTTCAGAGAGATCATGCATTGCATGTGTTCAGCTCAGCCCTTCACAACCACACGGGATCTTGTGTGAGCTGCGATTAGAGGAGACTGGAATGTGACTGGGAAATATGTGAACGTGGCATGCAATGAATGCTGGGATATGAATGAGATAAGACCAGATTTGTCTATCTGGAAGGAGATAGCAGTGACCGCAAGGCAGCAGAACTGCTAAAGTTTCAGGTAAGGTTAGATTTTAAGCTTTGGTTAAGCTATAGATGTTTAAACAGATCAAGTTTGGAAATAAATGCAAGAAAGAAGTCCAGTCATAACTCAACATGCAAATAATATGACAATGCAGGTTAGATTTTGA